ATATCTCTCAGCGTCTCTAGCCAACGACAATCCTCATCCCTTGGGCCCCAACCTGGAAGGTGGGCTGCACCAACCCAAGCCAAAGCTGAAGCCAGCTTCTTCATACTTTTAGCCCATCTCATGGCTGACCGCCGCGACGCTTCTTCTAGCCTTGCCCGGCACGTGCAAAGGAAGCACGGAAAGCTAGTCACTGGGAAGACATACGCAATACGTGACCAAGCTATCGGAGGCGGTGTAGAGCGATTATTTGTGTTAGGGAACGACTGTCCACACCAACACACGACGACGGACCTCGTCATTGCTCACGCGATGTTCCCACCAGACACGAGCAATGAATCGGAGACATCGGTGATCGAATACAGAAAATCGATTAACATCCTCAACGCTGAGTGGCTAGGTCTCGCAACAGTAAAGCAGAACACTACGAACTGCGGCGATATACACCCTTCCCTTAAGAGACATTCAGATGTCATGGCGGCACCACAGGTGTCGTAGGTTGGTGAAAGCTGCTCTAGCTTTCGCTATTCGTGATGTGATCTCGTCCCCAACACCCAGCAACTGCGATCAAGCTCCCGAGGTACTTACAGCTCTCAACTACTTCCAGCTGATCACCACAGATGGTGAGTGCAAGCACAGGTTCCTGCCAGTCTTGAACCATCGCACTTGGAAGGTGCAAAGCACATACCATATCTGGATACCTCGATCACCAAGCGGTTCATTCGGTGCCGTCTAGATATGCGAAATCGGTGAAGATCGTGCATGTGGAGAAAATCTAAGGGGTGCAATACGTTTGTCTTGGGGTGTGTATGCATAAAGCAAACAAATTTTCTTGCTGTGACAGCGACATTTCACCTAGCGGAGGCATCACGGGTGAAGTATCGACGTGTATACAGATGCCTCAATTGGCATTTGCCAATTGCACGAGTCTGGTGGGGACGAGCAGTGCTGAGGTTGGGCACAGAGTTTTGGGTAATCGCGGTCTTCCACTGGAACAGACTGCGTTGATTGGGACATACATCGTGCATGCGACCAAGTAGATCGCTACGGCATGCCTTGTTTGCGATTTGTTAATGTCGCCGAGCCCTTTTTTGGATGCGAGAATAGGAATATATATATATATATATCGATTACTGTACTGTAAAACTTGTATCTGATGTGCCTAAGAATGGATTCCGTTGACGGTTCGCTCATAATCGCGCACAAACTTTGCGACTCGCTCCAGGAGAAACTAACTATAATAACACAAGGACAGTTATCAATGGACACAGTATAGTGTTGTTTATCTCCAACGCCCGCCGACAGAATCTCATCAAAGCTATCTCACTTTCTTCTTTCCCACCCGGGTTCCCCGACCAGGATACGTTCTTTCTGAGTGCCGAGGAGTGTATCACGGCTGCTCGATTGCAGAATTTACATCCGAACATCTGTTCGCTAAGTCCGGACGGGCGTTTCGGTTCGAAATTCGTCACTGTNTGTGGTCGTTACCGGTGACGCGTCTCACCACATCCATTTTGAGGCTTACCAGGTATCCAATCAAGCCATGGCTCTGGAACGTGATCGAATTCTGATGCCCACATATGATGCACCGGAATTGGGCTACATTCGTGAGACCGCCACTGATCAGTTTGTGCCCGAAGTTTTCTACACCGTAAGTGGTACTACAAACTGATTGATTGATTGATTTTATAAGGGTAGAATCACACCATTGACGATTGGGGTTGTCGGTCAAACGAGGTCACATAACTAGCGGATTCGAAATTCTCTCTCTCTCTCTCATATCTGATCAGCTGATCACCGTCGTGCAGTCATTTTGAATAAGTAGGATTTATTTTTTTCGGCGTTCCATTTGCAATAGTGCTTTGGTTTTCTTTACTTCAATTTGTAATCGGTGTTCAATATCTGATGCATAACATTTTTCTGATAGTCCTGTATCGTGAAATAATGACCTACATCACTGTACTACAACGGTCGTATTTTTTCTCATACCTCATCCATTTTCTCACCTCTCATCCTCCACCAACTCTGTAGCGATTCGTGTGTTTTACGTTTGATTTGATTTCATCATGACCGTTTATTTCACGGTGTTATGAAGCACTAATCACATTTTTGAGTAGTATGCAAAAGGATGCGGTTGGCGGTTTCTTTCAACGAACTGGTGCGTTCAAAATGATAACTACGGACTGTTCCACTCAGTATCCTGTGTGCCGCCGGGAATTGTAATGATACGTTCAAAATGAGACATCTTGTTATATAGTTTATAATAAACAATTATCCTCAAGTCAGCGGTGGTTTTATCATCTCACTTGGCTTTGAAAAAGTGTCGACTCCCTGCTGAATAGTAGTGGCATTGTTGGCATCAACCAGTATTTAACCTGTATTCGGTTTACTACAACAGTGCAGTATGTAAACTCCCAGTTCTCATAACCAAACGGTAGACCGTATGAAGTTGACATTTTCTACTGTTCCGTATTGTTGTAGAAGAGATTTCGTCACGTCCACATTCGGACAAACACTTCAGATGTTTGGCATTCACGTGTCCTGCTGTGCTCCGTTTATGATTGTTACTGCTGCTGCAGAACTGGCGATAACTATATGGGGCGCAGCAAACTAGCCACATCAATATTCCTTCGTGGTCCCGGCTAAGAGCCCAATTATCCCGTAACGAACTCAGTGAAATCAATGTTGAACGAGATAGTAATATGTTGGTGTGGCTGTTGTTACTTGTTAGCAGGTTGTACATTTTGCGTAGGCTATGTTAGCCTCATTCGTATTCATTTATCCGTACCCATTCTGATCTACCTTATTTGTGTTTATTTCGCCGTAGTATGGGGCCGATGCCAGTACCGCTGCATCGGACTCATCCCCGTATTCCCAATTCCATTTTGATTTTTCTGCCCTCATTGCTTTTTTCCACCTTCTTCTGTTCCCATACAGTTGAGAGACAAATACGGAAATCGTGTGACCCGTGTTGCACGTCCTCTTCCCGTGGAATATCTTCTCGTTGACATGCCTGCAGCATTTCCCATTGCACCGGTGTATACGATGGCCAAGCAACCGACCGATTTGCCCGAGGATTGTCGATTCCCGGTCGAGAATCGTGAAAGTCTTGGACAATGCCAGGTGACCTCATGCGTTTCTAATGGTCATGAATGGGAACAATTTTGCTGTCTAGGCTACACCATATCTCTTGGAGATTCTGGTCTTCATTTGTTAACCCGTCCATTCCCACATTCAACATTTCTAAGCACTTGGATTCAATGGTTGCCTTACGTGTCTGTCAAGAATTCTATCACGTGAACTGTATTATGGTTAGTTAGTAAATATTCTGTCACCGAATTAAGCCCGTTAAATGTAATGAATCAACTTCCGTAAACGTTCAATTCAACAGCACAGTTATTCTGTGTGATCTTTGGAGTGAAATTGTCCCTATTCACTACCATTGGCAACACACGAAAGTACAGTGAAATTGCTCCATCATTTTCGATCGTCTCATCCCTCTCACCCGTGACCTTAAGCAAGTAAATTCCCTCTGACCCTTTCTGTGATCTGATTGGATCATATTCCGCGATCTGCAGCGCTTAAAATCCCTCACTCCAACATGAGATTGTTTGATTGCCGGTTTGTACGTTTTGTAATGCTTTTGTTGTTACGTCCAGTCCATCCGTGTGCTAACTACGTCGGAGATAGAATTCCGAAAGAAAGAAAGAACAAATATTACGGAAAAAATATATTCATATTATAAAAGTTGTTCCATATGTTTTCCATTCTGCTCCTTACATAGCAAAATCCGGTGAAGATAGTTTTCTTCCACCTTCAGAATGGTAGCAGTTGGAGTACTTTCGCGCTGCGCCACAATACTCTGTTTAAGCTTCTCGACAGTTCTCGGTTTTCGGGAATAAACTGTTCGCTTTAGGTATCCCCACAGAAAGAAATTCCGTAATATTTGTTCTTTCTTTCTTTCGGAATTC